GCTGTTACTGGAGCCCCTAGTCCATAATCTGGCCTTGCCACAGGGGGCACTGAACCAAGCGTCCTGAAGTCTCATTACTTCCTTAGTCTGGTTGTATTTCATCAAGCTGATCCACCTCTGACTCAGCGTGGTCCACCTGGCTCTTTGCTGAAGCCCTATTTGACCTCCTGGGCCTCCACTCTGTTCTGTTTTGCACCTCTTGGACAAAGTAAATGCTGCCATCCCTGCAGGTGTGCTTACTACCCTAGAATAGGGGTTCCCAACCCCTGGGCCCTGAAGGGTTGGCTGCCAGTCCACAGGAGGGCTGGCTGCTGAACCAGAAGTGACCATGGACTGGCAAACTGCAGACTGGAAGTGACCAGCATATTGCAGACTGGCAACCAACCCTTTTTTATATTGAGTATACCAGGCCAAGATGGCAACTATAAAAAGTTGCAGAAACTGGCTCAGCTGCAGGGCTGACTCCGATGACACCATCCAACTCTTTCACTTTCTGGTCCAGGCACATGTCAACATTTGAATTTGAACACTTCAGCTTGCAACAAAACGTGGACCCATTTCTGTCATGCTGGGCCATCGAAGGGTCCCTCTGCAAGGTGGAAGCTGAACAGCTGGTAGCCCCATGAGGGGCATGGGGGAAAGGTTTCATTCTCTGGTGACAGTGTTTCATGCTTGGTCCCTGCACTTTCACCATTTGTTTTTAATATTTGTATAGTAGAAGTTTTAAAGTCTTATCTCTCTCATAGTTTTCTTTTAGGTCATCTATTTTTCTGGTGGATTATTACTAATGAATTTCTAACTTGTAAATAATAAAGGATAAGATTTCTACCATAAGTTGCCTGCTGGTCAGATCAGCAAGAAATCCTGAGCTTAACACTAAAATGGAATTTTAGGTGATTAAGAGGCTAAGTTATCATAATTTTGTGGACTTTTTAGTCCTTGGAGAGGAAGGTGTAAAACATTGACTTATAGCTGCAGTGTACAGCATACATAGTTTATGGGGTGAGTGTTTGGTTTGTATCCTGGTGGTGAAAATGCAGTAGATTACAAGGTTTCAGATTACAAGGTTTCTCCAAGATTTTAGGTAAGATTAAGGCAAATATTTTAATGTGACAAAAATTGAGGTTGGGTTTCTAAAAGCATAATTAATTTTCTTGTGCCAGTTTTAAATATAATGGGATAATTTCTGGAAGAAAGGGAGGGTATGGGCATAGAAAATGTATGGTAAGGCATAATTATTTTGTCATCTATTATAATAGTGTTACCTTGATTTTTCTCCAGTTTCAGAGTTGGTGCACTTCAAATTCCTTTAAGTAATTTAAATCTATATCCATTGTTGTAAGATAAATTGCTGTTAACTTGCACTGCCTTGAATTATAGCTGTCTTGTCACTTGTATGGGCTAAATATTTGGTCCCTTTATTTAGGGTAAAGTGCTTCTGTGTTTACTTCTAAACCTTTTAAGATGCTTGTGACCTAGGTTTGCATTTTTGTCTTTTTCAAAAATAGAAAAATAGCAGAAATGGTTTGTATTACTCACAGCAAAAGGAGTGTTTATTAGCATGAGTGCACGCAAGTGTGTGTGCTCGCCATCCTGAAATTCACTGTGCCCAGATTAAACATATTGGGTTCTGAATGTATGCCTTATATTAAATTTATTTAAAAAATTTCCCTGATAAATAACATAATTAAAATGTCAGTACAGTCTCTTGCAATTGACTCTTAATATGGCATTTGTAGCAAAAGCTTGTTGACCTTCATATAGCTAATTAGGGTAATTTGCTGGTGTAACATTCTTAAATTATTACCAATGATAGGGATTCTGGGTCTTGCTCAATTACAACACTTTGGTGACACTGCAAATGAAAATTTTATATTTAAATTGTATACCTGAAGCTACCACAACATTTTTCCCTAAGGTTTTTGGTAGGTTAGTTACTTGACTACAGGCCTAGTCAATGCCTAAAGATAGCCATTTGCTTTATGCATGCAGGTTATTTATTACCAGTTTCCCTGCCTGAGGGTGGTGAGGTATATAATAACTTTGACTGCAGGCAGCTGCAGTAGAGGAGCTGGTTGTCTACCTGCTTTGGATGCTGGTGTAATTTATATCAGTATATAAACCTATGTACACCTATGTACACTTCACTGTTATAAATGGTTTCATGGGTTGACACCCTTAGAGATGCTTCTACATTTAAAAGGAGTCCTGGAACTAGGAACAGTGTTCCCTACAGATTATAAACATGGCATCCCTTCACACCAGTGGTAGTTGTAGCTTTCTGCCTAGTACAGTGGTTGTCAACTGGGGGTACACAGAACAAATAAGAAAAAATGACTAGAGGTGCATTGATACATTGGTCCCATATAAGGAAAAGTAACAGTATTGGCAATTGGCCTTTTTTGGATGATGTGGCTGATAAATGCCCTATGCATGCATGCAGCCACAGTGTGGAGAGCAGCTGGATTTGGCTGGTAAGTCTGTTGTGAGGGAAGGGGCATGGTGGGGGGGGCGGGATGCAGATTGAGACCCCCATGGTGAGGCAGGGAGTGGGGCTGGGCAGAGGCAGGCGCTGCAGAGCTGGGGCAGAGCAGGGGATGGAGCTGCGAGTGGCTCATCCTGGGGGCTGGCTCCCGCTGCTGCACTACCCCAGGAAGGCACCGGTTCTTGTACCCCCAGATCTGTCCATGGGGTGAGGGTGAGCTGCTGCTGCAGGCTGGGGCCAGGGCAACACCGGGCTCTTCTCAGCAGGGGGTTGGGCCTGGGCTGTGCTCAAGGAGGGTGGTGGAGGCGCTGGGAGTGGGGGCTAAGGTGAATTTTGGGGTGGCTGCAGCTCCCCTCCCTGCCGTAGCCTCCCTCCCAGTGCCACCACTGCCAACCCTGGAGTGCAGCCCCATCCCAACCCCCACTCCAGAAAGATCCCTGCGCCTCCCTGGCCCCAGCCTGCAGCGGCAGCCTGCCTTCACCTTGCACGCAGGTTTGGAGCACACACCCCACCCCCCAAACCCTCCCAGGTGCGTGCAGTGGTGGAAGTGCCCACTACCTGCTGTGCTTCCTGGACAAGCTGCTCACAGCTCTGTCCTGCTTCTTGCCCTGGCTGGGCAGCACTTGCCCCTGCCCCAGCCCCACTCCCTCACTGCAGGGGCCTTGATCTGCTCCCCCCTCCTTGGCCCAAATTGATGTGGCATAACTATGATGTGTATATATTTAATGCATATATTAATAATGAATTTTAATGTTAATTAGTGTAGCCTGCCTTATATATAACATCATGGGTAACATTAAAAACAAGGAAAAAAATATAAAGGGGTACATGAGCTGAAACTTTGAGACAGATAGAAGGGGTACAATTGTTTAAAAAAAAAAGATTGAAAACCCCTGGCCTAGTAGATAAGTGATTTATAATATATCAGGTTTTTGTAGGACATTTTCTGGTGAAACTGTAGTAGAGGTGAATTATGTTGTAGGTACTTCCAGGTTTTGGTGGAAAGATTGTTATGGAGGCACAGTGAAGTTTCAGGCTAGCTTCCATTATGCTTCTGAATCTCGCGTTTAACTTTTTCATGTTTTGCTAAACTGAAAATATTTGATGTGATTCTACCTTGGATCAACATGCAGTATATAAAGTTTTTTTTTCTCTGTTTGGGCAAAGGGTACAAGTATTTAGGAGTTCAAAAATGAGATACTTTCTTCTTTGAGTCAGGCCCTACGAAGAGAGGCTGAAGGACCTGAATCTATTCAGCCTCCACAAGAGAAAGCTGAGAGGGGATCTGGTGGCCATTTACAAACTCAGCAGGGGAGACCAGCAAGAATTGCGGGGGGGAGCTCTGTTCCCCCAGGCACCACTGGGGTTGCTAGGAATAATGGCCACAAATTGTTAGAGAGAAGATTCAGGCTGGACATCAGGAGACATTTTAGGCTGCCAGGTTCTGGAATGGACTCCCAAGGGAGGTGGTGCTTTCTCCGACCTTGGGGGTCTTCAAGAGGAGGCTGGACAGATATTTGGCTGGGGTGTTATGACCCAGCACTCGTTCCTGCCCGGGGCAGGGGGTCGGACCTGATGATCTGTTTAGATCCCTTCTGACCCTAAGCACTATGAAACTATAAATGTTGTCTTAGCTCATTGATTAAAGAGCTTCACCTTAAATTACTCTTTTTTTGCTTCAGTTAGTTCTGCCAAAATGTGATTTGACTAATTTTTGAAGTAGAAATTTAGCCATTGAACTATTCAGCTCTGAACTTAAGTTTATGTGTGCATAATAGTTTGTGTGCCAGACATGCACTTTTAAAGTTTGCCTCAAACAGATGACTTCTTTATGGTGGAACTGTAGAATTTTAAAGCCAGGTGGGAGGATTTAGGAGCACTTAAACTTTGCAGGAAAGAACAAAGGGCCTGTGGGGGCAGGAGTTGATTGTGCATGGGGGTTGTGAAGCAGTGCCTAGAGCCTTCAAGGACAAGGTGACCTTAGATGTGCCACCTTGTGGAGCTTTGAAACTTTACAGGAGGAGAGAGATGCAACTAAATGATTTTGATTTAACAGGAATTTTAAAAACCTACCTAATGTACAGTTGGGGGATAAATTAATCAGTCTGTGTAAGAGAAAAGATGGGAGGTTGCACATGACAGAACTGTAGCGATTTTTACGGCTAAGCTGTTTTTGCTTTAGATTGAGGTTTGTTTTGTTTAATGGAATTAAGCTGATTTTAAAAGAAAGCTTTGCAGAATAGTGATTCAGAAGAATAGTGATTCAGAAAAGTGCTTCTTTAAGTTGAGAAAAATGCTTAACATGGCTTCCAAAATTGATACAGAGGAAAGAGAGAAGAGGAGACTAGTCTGATACTTTGGGATAAAATTGCAGTGATAAAAGACTACAGTGATTTTTGGGTGGGGATGGCAGATCTGAAGAAAATTGCTTAAAATTCTAAGTTTCTAACAGAGGGGCAGAAGCTGCTTTCAACATGGAGGCTTCTAATCCTTTTGCAATGTCTTTATTTCATAGCAAGCAAGGGCAGAGCAGGAAGAGGAGTTCATCAGTAACACTCTGTTTAAGAAGATTCAAGCTTTGCAGAAGGAGAAAGAGACGCTTGCTGTAAACTATGAGAAGGAAGAGGAATTTCTCACTAATGAGCTGTCAAGAAAATTGATGCAGGTAATTGATTTCTCTGCTTGTATTTCTTCCCATAAACCCTGGGGTCATGCTTTAAGAGGTTAAACTTAGTTTTTGTTGGCATGATTACAAACCAAGGGATATATAGTCAGTTCAAGCTTTTTTTTCACAATGTACTAGTTAAGGCAAAATATTTTTTCCTTTAAAAAAAAAAAAAAAAAATTAAACACAGTCCTATGAAGTTTGCAAATCAAGCCATCACATTGGGACCCTAAAAATAAGAGAGTATATTTAGAGATACTTGAAAATAAATATAAATAGTGAAAGTAAATACATTTTAAACATTATTTTGACTTCTAGAAAGTTTTTGTCAATAATGCAAAATTAATCATACTTAACAATATAATTTTAAATTGACTGCTTTAAAATAAATGTTAGAAAAATAAGTGCATGCATTTAGAATATGACATTTGAAATGTTATCTGCTATCTGTTAAAGGGTGACCTATTGATATTTTTAGTAACAGATGGCCTCTTTTTCTTTTAACATACTTTTAATATGTATTTTACTGGTGTTTCATTTAACACACCCTAGTTCATCAGGGAAGAAGGATGGCCCAGGGATTAAGGTGCTAACCTATATTGCAGGAGAGTTGGGTTTAATTCCCTGCCCTGTCTCTGATGCATTTTGTGACTTTGAGCCAGGTCACTTAGTCTCCCTCTTAGATCTGTGCGGGGAAGGATGCTTGTTGTGAGTTCCAGCAGGATACTTGCACTCTTCAAGTCCTCTAACAGTCTTCAATTCCTGTAACACTCAAAACTAGGTTGGAGTGATGTCACAGAATGAATGAATGAATGCAAATTGCAAGTGTAGATTAATATTAAACATTATTAAAGAGCTTAATTTCACAATTGTAAAGCTCTTATTTTCAATAACAGCCTTATGCTGTGAATAATTCTCCTGTATATTATGTTTTCTAGCATATAACACGTTCAACTATAACACACACTCTAGTTTTGGAAGGCCCTAAGAAGAGAAAGGGAGAACCTTATCTTGGAGTACCAACTGTTGGGGGCTGGGCACAAGGGTTGACCTGATCTCACATGCTAGCACTGGGTCCATGGGCTGGATCAGCCCTGGTGTGCTGAGTCTGGGCACAAGCCACTCCATATAAAGTCCTGATTTGGTGTGCATTGGAGAGGTAGGGCTCTCCGTGGGTCCAGCAATTTGGGGGCTGTGGTGGAGGAACAAGTGGCAGCATTTGATTGCGGTGGCTCCCAGAACCATGGCAGTTTGTTGCTGGTGTTCCACTTCTTCCCTCTTCTCTCTTTTCCATGCTCCCTAATATCTGGATTCACGGCAAATCCTTTATCTTACATATAATCCGTACCCCAATTTTTCTCAGCTGGTTTTGGGGCTAAAAGGTGTGGGGGGGTTTTAATGCAAGAAACTATGGTAGTAAGAATATATTGTTTGTAAGCTGTTATGGTTAATTTCCCGTGACATCTCTCACTTTTAAGGAGAGATATAATAACTAATTTGTAACTTTAACACTTGTGAGTTGACCCTTATCTTGCATATTAAGTGTGAAAAATAGACAAGGTTTCCTGTATAGTGTATACATACTACTTCCTCCCACTGGTTTCAGTTCTGCAAAACAATATAGCTTTTTTTGACAAATATGTCCTTTTGATGGTTGTCCTTTTCTGTAAAACGTAGAGGCTTGTTACACAGTAAATTTAGGCAGCTTCTGGAGCTCTTAACACCTGGACTGGCTGCATGTTAACACCTTTTAAGTGGCTTAAAGTGCTTATTATTCGGCTTAGAGTTGCACTTCTCCAGGGCAGGATTATCTCCAATCTGCCTGACTTTGTTCCTGTTTCATTACTGTGTGGCCCCTTTCCACAGCTCTTCCGCCCAAGTTGAAGTCCTTCAGTATCCCAGAATGCTTTGAGGGACCCAACTCTTTTTTTTTTTTTTTTCTCTCTGTGGCCAGCTGGGTGATGCCTGAGCTCTGAGGGGTCCTATCCTTTTTTTCCAGCAGGTGTCTCCTGCTGCTGTTTGGCCTGGATCTGCTCCCTCTGGTAGTGGCACAGGGGTCAGGTGCTGCCTGAGCTGCAGAGAAAAAAGGATCAGGCCCCTCAGAGCTCAGGTGGCACTGGCCAGCCTGCAGCCCAGCCAGTGGGATGCAGGGCAGTGGGTACCACATGAGCTCTGGAGAAAAAGGGATTGGGCATCTCAAATCTCAGAGTGAGCAAGTTGCAGGGCTGCAGCCCTGGAGCTCTTTGGTTTCACTGAAACTGGCATGTTGGCTCCATGTTGAGAGCAGGGCTGTTAGAGCTTAAGCCTGGTGGCCCTGCTTTCATTGCAGAGCCACTGTATCCGTTTCAGTGAGACCAGAGTGCCCCAGGGAAGCTGCTTTTTGTGTCTTTTTGGTCTCACTGAAATTGATACGGTGGGCCTGATATCTTCCATGTATGATCAGCAGACGAGTCCTGCTGCCTGCTCACCAAGCCTCTAGTGCAGGGGGGTAGGCAATGTCTTTTGGCTGTAGTGCTGAAAAAACCACAATGTCTACCTTGGAAGGTGCCGGAGTGCCGGCATGCCAAAAAATCAAAATGGGGGGGGGGG